TGTGCGTGAGCTTTCCATTTAATGTCGAGACAAGTAGCTGCTATTGAATAAGCTTTATGGTCCTCTTTCTGAAACCTGATTTACTGCTTCTTGATGGACAATTTTTAATATAAACAACCATATAAGATTGTCCTTCTTTTCTCTACACTCCATATTATTAGGTGTATCAGATGTATCAGATTACATAAAAATGTACTAGATTCTGTAAACTATACCAGATTTTCAAATTAATTGTGATGTGGTTTAGTTCATTAAGAAAAAAATAGTTTTTAGCAAACGAGCGTAGAAGATTCTTAGAAAATGTACTAGATCTAGTACAGTGTACTAAACTGGCAACACTGGGTACTATAAACAAGTCTGTTAGGCTGCGTTAAGTCAACGGTCAACTTGACTAGTATGGTCAGACCGCTCGCTAGGCAATGTAGTCGAAACTGTCTAGTGTTTTGTAAGTCCCTCGTCCCTCAACACATTGATAGTTCTAAAGAATGCGGTAAACTCAATTAGAAGGCATTAAAAAAAAAATAATGTGAACAGCAGAAACAGAAATAAACTTATTATGGCTACTTGTCAATTCGCTTTTCAAACTGATGATGAAATGACATTGATAAATTCTTTTGAAACTGTAAGTTCAAGCATTAGCATCTTGAATAGGAAAGATTCTTGTTAGTGTAGCTTTTCTGCCTATTTAAGAGTAACTCGTGACTAATCCCGTAATAATATTACATAATATTTGGTTTTTCCCGTTTCATGTATTAAATTGGTGGTTACATTCGACTTAAAAGACACACGAATTTCAAAAAATTTTTTGCACTATTAGAAAGTAAAGAAGTTATATATCATGACAATTAAAAAAAAATTGGAGATTACCCACAATTAAGCGAGAAATTTAATATTAAAATCTCAAAAAATGCACATTTTTAATTAAATATTTTCACTTATGTGTACAGGGTTGCCAAGTATTTTAGTATGTAAGAAGATATAATTAATTTGTAAACTCGTAAATTATTATACTTTTATGATTTGTTTATTTAAATAAAAATAATAGAATTTTGTGATAAAATACCAGAATCCTGTATCAAACATCGCTCCCCGGCCCCTAACACAGATCAAAGAATAATATCTGTTCATATCAGCTCATACAATTGTTTATAAAATTAAACAGCAATCTTTTGTAAGTTTTTATAACTTACTGACATTTCACATGACATTTTTGAGTAATTTCTAGAAATACAATGTTACAAAATTATTTTATTTGACTCATTCAACATAAAAGTCACTCTAAATTCTTTGCTACCCGATCATACTGTTATTAAATACCCAGACTACTTAGTTTTTTAAATATTACGGGTAACGGCCGAAATAGTAACAAGTAATAAATTAATCTTGGCAACCCCGCTTATTATCCAGAAAAGAAATGTTAAATATTAAAATTTTCAAGTTTTAGGTTAAATTTCATGAAAAACTCGTTTTCTTATTTTAAAAAAAAATTTAAATTAAAATATATAATTGATTTATACTTTTTTTTCGTATTTCCAGACCTAAGGTGAGTTAAAATCATACTTAATATCATTTAAATCAAAAAAATAAAGTAAAACTGGTCAAACAGTGTGTCCCTAAAGTCTAACGTAACCAAATTGGTTTTCAACAACAGTTTATCCATAACTATTAATTTCTTGTATGTTTAAATGAAATAAAAACATAATTGACATTTGCCCATTCACTAGACAGTTTTGACTAACCAAGTCAAACTCAATTTCTCGACCGTTCTGACTGACTCTGACCGATCAGTTTCGACCGGTCCGACCGCTCACTTAACGCACCCTTAACATCAAATCAGTTACAGTTAAGTCAAAGGCATAGAAATAGTATAGAAAGCCGATTCCATATATCAAAAATGAAACCATAAGGAGAAAATAGTGTGTCGGAGCTCATGCGTATAACGGTGCTAGCGCGAACAGGACCGGTGCAAGTTTTTTATTGATCGAACAAATAGTTAACACATTTCAATCATACATTTTTAGAGATGATTCTATACAAAAAACGATTAAAAAAATTTCAAGTTAAGGTAAATATGGTTCTGACAGTCCTTATTAAGAAAGATATGGCATAAAATATGAATTTCGGCAATCATTAGTACAGTAGTCATGAGATTTTGCTTGTGATTTTAAAAATACTTTCCAGAAAAACCACGTGCTCCGGTTTTGACTACGTTTATTATTAAACAGCGAAATTATATACAAAAACTTTAATCCACAATCTAAATTAGATACTATCACAAGAAAATCACTGTTACAATAATTAATTACTTAACCAAAAACTAAAATACTTTTTAGGTACCTACGTAACCAGAAAGGAGCTGGACCATTTATCCTAATATTGATTTTCTCTCTCCCTACGGTAAAACTTAAAACAATAACAAATTGCCTATCTACTAGGGTCGGTAACTAAACGAATATACATAATGGGCGGATTTTGTTTATACTTAACATTACACTCGCGCATTTAAATATAACTATGCATATAAATATTTACAAACAAAGATACTTTTCCAAACAGGCAATCGTTAGTACTGTAGTCACGAGATTTTGCTTGTGATTTGACATCTTATTTGATAATATCAGTTGCAACAACTAAATTTAATCTGGGGAGTGCAAAATAGGGCCCAGGAATATTATGTTCGATATTTTTTTACATTTTGTCAGCCGAGACTATGAGTCGTTAGACAGAAAACCTTTCATGTTACCATTTTCAATATAAATTAAAAAATTAAAAAATACTACTACATTTACTTGGTACATATTTTATTTTAATTTTGAACCCTTTTAAAAGGGTCTTTCGGTTCCATAATAAAAATTAGTTGCTGCTTACTAGAAACATTCTATATAGCCTAAACCAATTTATAGTTTGTTTTCGATCAATTTAATACAAAGATTTAAAGTTTTTAGTCGATGATAACATTCCACACCAGCACATTGCAAACCTATTTTATAAATAATAGGAATAAACTTGTAAATCATTAATTTGGTAGTTATCTCACTCATATGATTTTTTTGTTTATATGACTATTTCGATTTCTAAATATATTTTGGCCCTACAATACGAAGCGTTTTGTATCTACCACTTTTTTAATGAACGATGAATGTTGACAGGCGTGTACCTTTTTCGGAACAAGAGGCGTTTTAACGAAGGAAATGATTTTCGAACTATCTAGTTAGTTTTCGGAAAAATAGAAAACGTTTGAAGAAAGTTGTCAATAACAGTTTGTCGTTCATGTGTTTCATTTTGATTAGCTTTCATACTAAATTGCGTAGAATATTTTTCCGATTCAAAATCGAGATTCTCGATATTTCCACAGTTTATTTATAATACCTTCTAAACTGGATTTATCTATCATTTTATATACTTTATAATATATGTTCATGCCCTACTTTTCACTTTATTAACAATTTTTTTTAACATACTTCAAAATGGTAGGATATTCTTAATTCGTTGAAATATTTTTTTAAGTACGTTGAGCGATAATTCTTTACCACGTTGCCCGATTTCTAGGATTCTTTTTGTTAGAAAAGGAAACAGTTTTATATACATTAAGTCAAGATCTGAAGATGGGATCCATAAGAAAATCATTAACATCTTTATTTTTAAAGTAGTTTTTTTTTTAAATTTCTTTAAACCTTACTGGTTCGAACGCGGTAAGGAATGAAGAAATGTAAATAATTGTTGTGCCAGCCAAAAAGCGAAGAGGAAGTACCGATTAAAATATCGAGTGACAGAAGAGTTCCTAAGATTGTTTAGATCGGGTTTATGTTTTAAAATGCCTTAAAACCGATATCGATAATGTCTCCCCGTCGCTGGGCATAATTATAATTCTTAGGTAGGTTTAGATTTGCAGACATAAATCTTGTAATAAATATAACAGCTGCCTAATACATTGATTACATTTTCATTAGCCAATGTAAAAATGTCTTTTAGTGTACCTAGGATTTGACTAAACACTACACAAAACTAAAAATAAAATGCCACTTTCATCATGTAATTAATGCCGCGTTTGAGAATCCACATCGGATGCATTTTTTACATCTCTAGCGTTTTTTATCCACATCGGACACATCTGTCCCATTACATTTACGTATACTGAATCACGTGATCAAAGATTTACTACTACTACATCTCAGATGCATCCGATGTGGATTCTCAAACGCGGCATAATTAATAAACTACAAACGGTCCTGTAAGGGCAGCGTCATATAGCCTTGAAACACCGGATTTTAGTGCTATTGCCAGGTCAATATTGAATTTGTAGGTGAATCGCTTATTGAACATTAAAAATACGGTATTAATGACATTAATACGGTATTTGTATATATTTTTGGGAATGTAATTACACATAAATATTATTAGTTGATTATTTAAATGTTTATAAGTTATTTTGTGGCGATATTTCGTAGATATAAACTGTTTAAATCATATAATTTAAAAATTAATTAATTTAAAATTCTTCTCTGTTAGGTATGTTTAATATATTTGGCAACACTACAGGGACAAGTCATGCATATTGCGCAAGCTTCTAGACACACTATTTTGCGATGTCAGGCGCAGAGACGCGTTTTTATGCACAGTAGGTTTCAATTTCTGCTTAAATGTTATGTTTATATTGGTCTTCTATATTATTTCTATGGACCAATTGCACTAATTAACTGTCTAATGGAAAGCTTAATAAAAACGTTATAGCATTTTTTAACGCTTTTTGACTTTTTTTACTCTAACCATACACCGCCGTTTTAAGCGCTACAAATCGATGAAATACAATCTTGATTATTACTTTTCTATATAAATATAATACAAGAATATACTATTTATTCAAAGACACTAACAAAAAAACAACAGAAAACTATAAAGTTGTTTACACACGAGTGAATTCTTAATCCACATAGTTTTATCTGAATCCTTTCGTTCATAACTATTATTTTATATAAGTAATATTCATCATTTTGTTTCAGGTTTTGTCCGTCCGTTTTTCTATATTTAGCAAGTGTAGTACCAGCAATATGGCTCTTGGAGCTCGACAAAGTGGAGAGAAAATTGAAAGCTTTGGAGGGATTACCAATGAATCTTACAACTGGAGCGCAGTTCAAAGAATTAAACAATTTAATAGGGGTAAATATTTGACATTCAGTAAATAGGCTTAGAGTCAGTTGCAAGAGCGTTCATTAAGTAATGAAGCTCTGTTGAGATGTTTAAACCGAGTCATTTGAAGTTTATTATTCAGACATTATCGTGCAAAACCAAATTTATCAGAGCATCAATATTTAACCAATGCTATTGGCAGTCGATGCATTAGCTTGCAATAAAGTGAGTGATTTTTGTGAAGAATCGATCAATAATGCTAGCCGGAAAAGTTGCACCCCTCCCAAGACTTTTTTTCTACTCAAATAAATATTACAGTTATTGTTGTTGTTGTTGTTGCTATTGTTTTGTTGCTGTTGTTTGTTGTTGTTGTTGTTGTTGTTGTTGTTGTTGTTGTTGTTGTTGTTGTTGTTGTTGTTGTTGCTATTGCTGTTGTTTTGTTGTTGTTGTTGTTGTTGTTGTTGTTGTTGTTGTTGTTGTTGTTGTTGTTGTTATTACTTACTTAAGAATATATTTTTTAATCGTTCTTCTATTATGCATTTTGCATATTTTTTATATTTTTGTATATATTTTAAATAGGTTTATTATTTGATTGGAATCGCAGTAAAGAAAATTTAAAAATTATTTTAGTTATGGTAATAATAAAACTGCTCAATTTTATTTTACTATATTTCCAGAAAGCTATTACTTTATAATTGAAATGTTCAAAGAAATAGGCGTAACTTTTAAAATAAAATATAAATTATTGGATATTTATTAGGTGGACATAAAACTGCCAGAAATCTCGTTAAGCACCGAAACTTGGATAACTCTAATAGAACAATTCCTTATGCTTATTCTCATAATTGGGAGATGGATGTTGCCAAAAGGTGATCTCACAAGGGACCAACTTAGCCAGCTGCTACTCGTCTATATTGGTATGTGTTTAAATTAAATGTAATACGTTTTAGGTTTGTCATTCATTATTTTTGATTGCCAGCAAAAATATTGACATTCATAAGAAAGCATATATGTAGTTTCCTAAATTACAAAAAAAAAATGATTTATGTCTAATATATACAGGTTGTAACAAAAAAGTCGGTGATAAATTAAACAAATTATTAGGAGTCAAAAATAGATTGGTTAAATATAACTTAAGGCTAGTTTCTCACCTTTGAGTAAAGTTCAAAGTTTACTTGTCTATGAAACTATAGGGCGATTGCTTGTTTATCTGTCAAGTAAACCTACATCTAATTTTATTCACAGTTGAAAAGATCGATCCTTAAGTATATACAAAAAAAATGTATGTCTAATACATGAATTTCTTGTCTAATTTTTATAAACTATTTTCGGTTATTTTGTACAACCTATTGTATCACCCTGTAAACGTTTAAGGGATGAACTAAATACATACATTTTCCATACACTTTTCACTTAATTTTTTTTATATACAAGATGTTTCAGAATAAAGTGTCGTAAACTAGGGAATTTGTAGATCTAAATAATTATTAAGAAAAGCTAAATATAATTTTCCTGTAAACGTTCCAGTTTTCATTCTATAGGGCAGTGGTCGCCAACCTCTCAATGTGTTGAGCTACTTTGTTAATTTTGGAATAAACAGCGAGCTACCCACACGGAAGCCACGTAACGCAACGTAAATGAAATAATCCAGAGTTAATTTATCATTATATGTATTTATTTTACTATTTAACTGGTAATACATAATACATAGGTACTAATAATAAACTAATAATAAAATAACTAATATTACTAGTACGTACTTGTTCATAGCTACATTCCTACCTACCAAACGAAGGTGTTTGAAAAATAAACACAAACTTTTATCCAGCCACAACGGCATGCCACGTAAGATTTAAAAATAGTTATTAATAACAACAAAAAAGTAACGCACTATCATGAACATAAACATTGAAAAATAAAAAAGCACGTTCAATGAGAAGGCTGACACTCAGATTCATCGATAATTTTTTTAATGTTTGCAGTATAATTTGATACAGCCATTTGAATACAATTATCCAAATGTTCATCTGTAAGTCGATTACGATATTTGTTCTTAATAAACTTCATATTGGAAAAAGAAGATTCACACAAATAGGTTGAACTGAATAATGCTTTCACTTTCAAGGCAACACGGCATAGAACTGAATATTTGTCTTTACTTACAATAGGCCAGATACATTTGGTACTTGAGATTTTAAGGCTAAATCATTTTGAAACTCAATTACTTCCATTTCTGTTGCAGCGATGTCTTCGCCAAAGTTCTGCATAACACAAGTTGCAAACTGTTGGATATCAATTTCCATAAAGGGTGAAACAACAAACTGCGCTACTAAAGCCATTTCGTTGAAATCCTTAAAACGATTTTTGAAGTTATTCTTCAGGGTAGAAACTATTTCTACATAATATTTGCTGTCATAGGGTTCTAATGGATTTTGAGATATTTTTTCTGAAAGAATAGGAAAATGCTTGGCATCGCTATTAATTAGGTTTTGTTCCCAAAACTCCAGCTTTTTGATAAATGCTTTTATATCAGAAATCATTTCCGCTAGTTCTTTGTCTCTCCCCTGAAGCTGCAAATTAAGTTCGTTTAATTTCTCTGTAATGTCCACGAGAAAACCAAAATCTCTAAGCCAGATTGAATTTTCTAGTTCCGGAGTTGGTTCATCGCGTTGTTTGAAAAATTGAACTATGCCAGATAGGACATCATTAAAACGTTTCAGCACCCGTCCTCTACTTAACCATCGGACTTCAGAGTGAAGGAGTAGGTCCCCGTATTGACAGTCAACTTCATCGGCCAAGGTTTGGAATAATCTTCTTTGTAACGCTTGAGCTCTTATCTTGTTCACAATTTTTACCACCAGTTTCATAAAGTTGTTTAGTTTCAGGAAATTTCCACATAATGCTTGCTGATGGATAATGCAGTGGTAACAGAGAAATTGCGGAAAAGTTTCATCTTTACGATATAACGCCATCAGACCCTTATCACAACCCACCATAGCTGGAGCGCCATCGGTTGTCAAGCCTACCATTTTCGATATTGGAATTTTCTCGGAAGAAATAATATTTTTTAAAAGGGAAAACAACTCCTGTCCAGTAGTGTGTCCTTTCAGTGGAATAAACTTCAAAAGATCTTCTTTAATCGTAAAATCACTAAAAACCATCCTGACGAACACAGCCATCTGGGCAGTGTCAACGACATCTGTTGATTCATCCAGTTGAAGTGAACAATAAACACAGTTATCTAAGTCAGTTCTTAACTGTAAAAAAATATAATTGCTCATTACTTCTACACGTCTCATCACTGTATTAGCAGAAAGTTGCATAGATTTTATAGCTGAAACTATCTCGTCTTTATTTCTAAAGTTGGCAAATAACGAATCAGCAGCATCTAAAAACGCCTGTTTTATCATTTCCCCGTCTTCATAAGGTTTCTTTTTTTGTGCAATTATCTGGGACACACGGTACAATGCTTCAGTTGCAGCCTTATTTTTGTCGACTGTTCTTAAAAATATTGATTGTTGTCCAATTAACTGCTTTTTTAACTGTTTCAGTTTCTCCTTTCTGGCGGCAGAATGTAGTGGGAATGATTTTTCAAAATTAGAATGTACAGTTTTATGATGTCTCTCAATATTTCCCTTTTTAGCAACGGAGACCGAAGTATTACATAACAAACACACATTTTTATCTTTAACTTCTGTAAAAAAGTATTGTTCTTCCCATTCCGAATGAAAGTGGTATGTCTTTACCTTCTTACAACTGCTTGCCATAATATTATTTTTTGTTGTTCTCTACTAACCCAACCGCTGGACGTTGGTTACGCGTTCAGTTTTAAACTAAGCGCAATGTCGCCGCGCCGTGCGTATTTATCCCGTTCAAAGCAATCCTGATCGTTCTCGAACACTAACGCGCTGGTCCGGCTGGTCGGTTCTAGCCGATTCTAGTTTGATGGCGTCAGCGGCAAATCGCTCACCGCAACGTTGCCGCTGTTTATGTTTAATATTATGACAATTAGATTTTTTTGTGGTATTTTCGGAAGCTTCTCTGATTTTTGCAGTTTGTATTTTTTAAATTAAAATCGTTGTAAGAGCTACCAGAATTGCCTCCGCGAGCTACCGGTAGCTTGCGATCGACAGGTTGGCGACCACTGATTTAGACAGTAGTTATGTTATTCAGACATCGAAGAAGAATACTGGTTTTTCTAGACATAAGGACCGACATGTAACATATGGATTTGATGAGTTGTGTCGAGAATGCGGCCACACCGCTTTACGGTTACCCCCATATCACCCCGATTTGAATCCTTTTGAATTGATTTGCGCAACTGTTAAGAATGTCAGTCAAAGGAATGTTGCCTTTACATTATTAAACTGACTAAAATTACATAAATGAACAATATCGTTGAGAATTATTGTCTTTTGCCGTCACCTTTTAGGAGATAATTTGACTCCGCCGATATCTTTAGATGAAAGTCATGTGTTGGACACATCAGATTTTTTTACTTTAAAAACTCTTTCATTGTTGATACTCCTAAAGCAAGTAACCATTTAAATGACCTTTTTGGACATCATTAGCTAGTTATTGAGTTTTTAGTTGTAGCAAATTTTGAATTTTTGAATAAAGAACGAAAATACATTTCAAATAAGAATAAAAAGTCCTTACTTCCAATTTAAACATTTGGGTGTTGTAACTTTTACTCAATAGAGGCTGAAATTGTTGTCTTGGGATTTTTTATAAACATGCACAATAATTAAGATTCTAAATTTATTCTTCACACTGCATCTGCAGCTCAAGGAATACGCACTTTGTTGTCAAATGTAAGAACATCATAGTCAGACAATTATTCTAATTCTGTACATATTTTTCAAAAAACATTATTCATTTTCTTTAAATAAAAACCAACCTATTGAAAGAAAGGTAAAATAATACTTAAATTATTAAATTTTCAGGTACGGCTGCTGATATTTTAGAATTTTTTGATTCATTTAAAGAAGATAAAATTGCATCAGAACCTATACTTGTACTTTTAACTCTAGCTATATGGTAAGAAATTAAAATACAAATTAAAAAATTATTACCTTAATAATTTCATATAGGTCATGGAGCTTAATGCAGTTTACGGTTGTTCTAACTGCAACTAAGGCAAGAAAATCAAGACTTACAACAACCACTTCAACAATACAAAAGTACGTATGAAATTGTTATTTATTTGGTAGGTAAAAGGTCTTTACAAAAACATACCACATATTTATTAGACCAAAATAAGTCGATTTAAGTAAAATTACCTTAGTACAAAGTTGCTTCGTTTGGGCTCCAGAGGGCCTTGAAGTTACACTTTTTAAATCGTTTTTCCCATATAAATTTAAAACGGCATATGCGATTTTGCTGAAATTTGGTATATTGGTAGAGTTTTATGTGGCAAAAAAAAATGGTATTAAAATTTTGTCCGATAATAATACATAGGCGTAGAACTTGATTTTTTAAATAATGGCACCTTTAAAAATTCTACGCCAATGGAAGATAAGGAGTTTGAGTATGAAATTTAGATTGCGCAACTCATTTACTTTAAAAAAGGTACTCTTGATAAGACTCGATTACTCTCATGGTTTTCGCTAAATTTCTGTTTCAATAATTTAGAGTGAATAGGTTTCACAAAAATATTTATTTACAACATAATCAAAATAGAGATTTTACAAAAATTGTTCAAAATGTTCACCATTTTCACGCATACAAAGATTTATACGTCGAAGAAAATTAAAATGTATCCTTTTCATAACTTCTTCATCACCTCTAAGATTGTTTATTGCATCTTGAATACGTTGCCAGAGTTGTTCCTCATTTTCTACAGGTTCCCTGTAAACTGTGGATTTCATAAAAAGTAATCCATCGGTGTTAGGTCTGGGGAACGTGGTGGCCTGTTTACAGGTGCGTCATTACCTCTGGCTATCCATTTGTGTGGATATTGTTCATTCAAATGGTTTCTAACGTTTAAAGAAAAATGTGGTGGAGCTCCATCTTGCATAAACCACATATCTCTCCGAAGTTGGAGAGGTAAATCTTCTAACAATTCTGGCAATGTATTTTGTAGAAAATCCAAATAATTTTCTCCAGTTAATCTTCGTGGAAGTATGACAGGACCAATAATGAAATTACCAATTATTCCAGCCCACACATTAATTTTGAACTCGTGCTGAAAATGGTTTACCTTTATTGCATGCGGATTTTTAACGGCATAAACATGTTCATTATGGGTATTAGTTATACCTCTTCTTGTAAAACCCGCTTCATCGGTAAAGAGAACCTTCTTGACAAAGTTTGGATCTCTTTCTCTTTGCATATTAACAAATCGACAAAAACCGAAACGAATTTGAGTATCATGGACTAATAATTCTTGTACTGGCTTCTTATGATATAGATATAGCAATTGTTCTCCAAGCACATTATGAACGACATATTTACTTTCGTCTGGTGCTTAATTCTGGATCTTCTTCAACACGTTCTAAAATGTCTTCTTCAACTTCAGGAATCCTTACAAAACGTTCTCTTCCATTATCAACAGTGTTGGGAGCAAAGGAACCGGTCTCCCGAAGACGTCTCTCAACAGCAGCAAAAGTTGGGTGGCTAGGTACACGACGATTTGGAAACCTTTCAGAATACACCCTGACACTCCCTCGAGCATTTCCTTCACAAAATCCTAATGTCAGTAACATATCGGTATATTCTGCATTGGTATATTGTACAGCCATATTAATAAACCAAGCATTTTTTAATTATTGAGTCAGATAGAACACTTTCAATCGTTAACAAGAGATTAGGTGTTAAAACTTGATAATATTTTTATTTAGATGAAACTATGGAAACCAACAATAAATGTTTTTGTATACGTATTGCAGGCCAATAATTAATATTCCTCAAAAAATCGTACATGGCAAGAATCGAGTATTTTTGTTAAAAGTCTCGATTAGAGGTGTTGAAGAAGATATGAAAAATGTACATTTTTATGTTTTTCATCGTATAAAATTTTGTCCGATAATAATACATAGGCATAGAACTTGATTTTTTAAATAATTGCACCTTTAAAAATTCTACGCCAATGACAGAAATGGGGTTTGAGTATGAAATTTGGATTGCGTACTCATTTACTACAAAAAAGTACCCTTGATAACACTCGATTTACTCTCATGGTTTTGACAAAGTTTGTATTTTAATAATTATTGTTTATATTCTAAAATTACTAAAATGCAAATTTCGTCAAAACCATGAGAATAATCGAGTCTTATCAGGAGTACCTTTTTTAAAGTAAATGAATTGCGCAATCTAAATTTCATACTCAAACTCCTTTTCTTCCATTGGCGTAGAATTTTTAAAGGTGCAATTATTAAAAAAATCAAGTTCTACGCCTATGTATTATTATCGGACAAAATTTTAATACCATTTTTATTTGCCACATAAAACTCTACCAATAAACCAAATTTCAGCAAAATCGCATATGCCCTTTTAAATTTATATGGGAAAAACGATTTAAAAATTGTAACTTCAAGGCCCTCTGGAGCCCAAACGAAGAAACTTTGTACTTAGGTAATTTTACTTAAATCGACTTATATTTTGATCTAAGGAATATGTGGTATGTTTTTGTAAAGACCTTTTACAGACACCCTGTATAATCTGTTTTTATATTTCAGATCAGACAGTTGCTGCACTATAGACGTCTGCAGTATTTTACTAAATATCACACTACAAGATGCTCCATATCTGGCTTTCCGCCTTCTTCTTATCTGTCACTACAAAATTGTTACTTATATGAATATATTCTTCACCTGTAAGAATACTTTAGTAATTTTTCTTCAGATGTACAGACTATACGTTGTATACACGGAAAACAGTAGACCAAAATCAGATGATGTCGAGATGGCATCCACGGTTTCTATTATTTCTAATCTTTCAAGAAGCGATTTTACTTTCGAACCAAGAAGACGACGAAGACCGACGAGGACTCAGCAAGAAAGCATGAGGAGTCAAAGTACTGTCAAGACTCAAAGAAGTAATAGTAGTAGAAGAAGTGGGGAAACAGAAGAGTCAAGTGATAGTGGTGGAAGTGGAACAAATAATATAAAGAAAAGCAGGTACTTAATTTTTAAATTAGATAAATTTATTAGAAGTAAATATATATAAAACGAATACAGGGTAATACCAAAGATTAAGAATAACAAAAAGTACAGTTATAGCGAGAATAAATTTAAGCAGGATAGCGCTATACAGTGTGACAGGCGTATGTCTCTTATGTAGACAACTGGTAGTCCATAGCTTCTACAAGAAAGAAACCCTTTCCACGAGCTGTTATAAAGACTAGGGGCTGAAACAGCTCTGATTATCGACGGGGGGAAGCAAGCGAATACCGCTATCACCCCCTGGTTAACGCGAAAATGGATGAAGGGTGCGAGTGCCCCCGGATTTAAATCCAATTTACTTTATTACCCTGACAGGTACTAAGGAAATTAAAAGTTCGTATTACCTTTTACTAGTACGGGAAAATATTTAAATCGGAAATTATGTACTACTCGGTATATGGTTGCCAAATTATCATGGAATATTACAATGTTTGTGTATGGTTATAATTCCAAATTAACTTAACATAAGGCTCTAAAACGCACAAAATGCTTTTAAAATTATATTAAGGAAGAATATTTGCATTCTTAATCTCAGTTATTATTTGTTTGATGTATTTTTCTGGTTGCAGCTACTATTATAGCTGAAGTGTGTCAACGGGGTAAAGCAGGAATCATAGTTGTACAAGCAGAGTTGTTTATAAAACGTGTTTCCGCATTTCAGATAAACAACATCATACAAACCACCCCTACTCAATTTAGCAGGCGTCTATCGTCTATTTTTATGTATGAGAGAGTATTAAAATAATAAAGAATTCGTAATCCATAGGCGTAGCACTTCTTTAAGTAGACAGTTAAAATATTTTTGAAGTTATTCCTCGGGTATACACTTATATTTTCACCTAATTATGTAGGTATAAGGGTTTAAACTCTGACTTTTAACCAACGTTACGTTCAAAAATAATAATTTTAATATAAAAACTACTTCTTACCTACACATCCAAATCAGAATCGAAATCAGAAGATGAACTGTCGCAACCAATATTTACAATGAGTGGCTCGTCATTTCATCAGTAATATTGTCCAACTTCCACATTTTCTCTTCTTCCTTAATCGTATGATTTACTGCCTTTTCCCAGTTTTTAGGGTTCACATTATTTACAGCCTCCAAAAACAACTGTTTAACATCACTCATTTTAAAAGAATTATTTTTTCTTGAAACTTCTCCCTTTATCTGTGCCCATATCAGTTTAATCGGGTTTACTTCGCAATGATATGGTGGTGATCTAACCACCGTCATCCCACGATTTTTTGTAATTTCATCAATTTCATATTTTTTGAATTTCTCTTTATGAAGGGAACACAAATGATACAGTTCTTTTCTCACCTAACCGGGATGGAACTTAATATTCTTTGAATTTAGCCAATTCTGTAAATCTTTTTTTAACCACTTGGTTGTGGGCATTTTTTCTGAGGAAGAATATCTATAATTTGTTCGAACTACTCTTTAAAGACATCAGCATTCATGTCCTCATGGTAGTCACAGGTACGAGTAGATTCAAAAGTCAATAAACCACCTTTAACAAAACCGTTTGAACTACCGATGTGTACTATTATTAGTCTGCACCCTTTTTCTGATGGTGGATTTAAACCAGTAGATAAATTATTTAAAAAAGCCTGTCTTCGACTTGTAACAGTTTCATCTTGCCAAAATTTATTTGGTTTATGTCCCTCGTTGATCCATGTTTCATCTAAATAAAATATATTTCTTCTTTGGTTTCTCATTTCTTTTATAGTCCTTAGGTAATTTCTTCTCCATACTACAATATCGCTTCTATTAAAATAGACTTTCTGGAATGCTTTTTCCATAGAAAACCTATTTCTTTTAAAAGTTTCCATAGTGTGTTTCGACTTATTTCAGGGTAATCCTTATCATCTCGAACCGTGGCAAGAACTTTGTCTACTGTCGGAAATTCTTTTCTAAAGAAGAACGCATACACTTTCCTTCGAAGTCTTTCTTTCAAAAGATTTTCTAATTGAAATTTTGGTTTTCCTGGAGCTTTACGTGCTGTTTGAAACTCGCAACATTTCTCTTCTTTAATAACTCTGTCAATCGTAGATTTCCCAACACCAAGCGTACTACTAACTAATCCCACTGTGTCATCAACACTTTTACATAAATGTTTGTCTGTAAATGATTTAAACAATTAAATATTAATGTTTTTTCATTAACTGTTAAAGGACCGATTTTTTGTCGTTTACGCGGCCCTTCCAAATTTTCCATGATCACACTAGAATTCACACTGCACCTTGCAAGTTGCAACTAAACGACATTTAGTAAACTGTCAAGAATACACAACTCGGACCTCCTTACTAAATGGAAAACCTATAATCGCATTTTCGGTGAAATTTGTTGGGAAGGTATTTATCTACTTATAATTCGATTAATGTAAAAAATTCTTGGAATTAAAATGAAACAAAATTGGCAAATAGGTACTTATTGAAAATAATCTTAAGATACGGCTATGTAATCTTTAATACACAGGGCTTTTAGTCTGTCCAAACCTTTTTCTATTGTTCTGTACAGCTTATGTTTATAAAGGACCAATGAAAGACCCAGGTACATTTATTACAATTTTAGGAAATATTTAGATTATTCTGTAAAAATATTTAAAATGACCGTACTAAGTTTTGCATTAGAAATGCTGTTTTATTACTCTCTTATACATAAAAATAGACTATAGGTCTGTCTAAAGCGGTAATGCAACGGCTCTGTCTGCTAAACATAAAACATAATCTAAATATTAGAACATATATAGTCAGGAAGGAGCATGCCATGTCCGCGTTAATCTAATCGATCTGACGGAAGTGGTAGCCATGTTGTACCATGGATGACTCAACATCATGTGATAAATGGTCTCCTCACATTACGACGGTTTGGAAATTGTTGCGCGAATTCTTCGAAAATTGTTTGGAAATGCGCATCATTTCTTACGTACGACGTTAACAGGAAAATTCGTTCTTCCTGCGTAAATTTAAATCCACCAGCTTGCATTTTCACAATGAATGAACGTACGGACAATAATAATACACCGAACGCCTTGCCACAATCGTTTGAGAACGCAAACTAACGAGGCAGAAGTTGTACTGCACCAGATTACGTCGTGCTGTAAGAACCTGATAGTGGAGCGGAACTTATGCCGCACCCTGTATATCATGTGCCATTTTTTTCGTATAATAGAAGTTTATTCTATGTATGTGATGTATCCTATATAATTTATTACAAAGTTATTTACAAAAACGAACACAAATAGAATTAATATTATCTTAAGTAAGGAAATAAGTAGCATATCGCATGCCTCAAGATACTGTCTTAGGTCCTATCTTGTTTAATTTTATTTTAAATAATTACAGAAGGAAATATTAAGGTTTTCAGACGACACAGTTATTCTGTAAAATGCAGAGAACTGGAATTGATTAAAATTATTAATAGAAACAGATCTTATAAAAATGTTCGAATGGTTTAATTATAAAAACTTACAAACCTTTGATAAAACTTATGTTGTTCCATTATACAGTTACAAAAAGATTGCCTCTTCCTATAGAAACAATAAAAGGTATCGTTCAGTAGTTTCATATAAGTTTTACAAATGATATCAAATACCTTAGAGTACAAATTGACTCTCATCATAACTGGACTAAGCATACAAATAATGCGTTGAATGTACATTTAAAAATAATTTATTTTGCATTCACAGAATCATTATTACCATGGAGGAAGGATTATTAAGAGTTGCCGTTTCTTTGTAGAAATTTGGCAACATATTCGCTTGCAGCGACCTCTGGGGGGGGGAGGAGTAGAACTAATCTTACTCTGTCGGTAATGTAGTTACCAGCAGTATTACCATCAACTCTTACTCTGCCGGTAATGCAGTTACCCGTAATTTAATATTTAATTTGAAAATTGGCAGGTTTTTTTTAAAGGAGAATTCGCTTTTGCAATTATTTTCTAACTAATACGAAATATAGCCATACAAAATTTTGGTAGTAATTTTTTTATTTTTAAATGAAATAAAAAACAAATAATTATGAGGGATAAAATAAATATCATACAAAGTTTTATATATTTACTATTTTGGTATGTTAACTATCTTTGGCTAACAAAAATCAGAAATTGCACAACAAATAATTAATTTACTTAATATGAAAACGAATGCCTAAGTAAATAAATTTTTAAAAATAACCAAAAACAGAACAACAAATTCTTCTTGAATCTTAGGAAATAAGACAAAAGCAACTATCCATATAAACTGAAACAGAAAAAAATTAAATGCAGTAACTTCAAATCATTTTGTTTGTCTTTTAGGCATTGCAGCAGCCCTCATACTATCATTATAATACTTTCTTATTATTAATAGTAGACAAGTTTTAACTAAATGAGAAAAGACGTCTGTTTTATGTTCTTTATATTGTAAACCAGAGACGGCTCGTGGCCTAGTTTGCGAGGAGGCTGGCTCACCCTATATACTTTATACAAATATATATTTCTATTAGAATACAATGTAATATTTCTGCTTTTTGTATTCTTATAGACATATATTTTTATTAAGTATATAGGGTGTGCCTTTTAAATGTAGTCTCATAGACTAGGCCACGAGTCGCCTCTGATGTAAACCATTTAAAATAAACATGGTCTGGCAAAAAAGTTTAATTTTTTGAATTATGTTGTCAATATGACCCAAAAGTGGTAAAACTATTTCATGAATTTTTGAAAGAAATTCAATAACATTTCTTTGTACATAAATAAAACCTCTTTTACCATCATTTTCTTTAAAATAAGTAAAAGTATCGATGGTCTTCTAACATGTCTGTAAATTAACTTTACACTCTTTGCAGTCAAAACTATTAAGTTTCTTAATAAACCCTGCAACATAACTAGTGGCCTGACTCAAATTCTGCTTCATTTATTAATTTTGTATATATTATTAAAATGAACTTTATCTTCACAGGACTCTGTTTGGAGGTGTGATAACAATATTACTGCTATCTTTGGTGTTTTTGGTGGTTTTGAGGATGCTAAAGCAAGGCAAAGCAAATCTTTTAGCAGTCTTGAACGATTTGTGTTTGTAAACGATTTTGTATCAAAATATGATTTTCACATAATGTATAATGATTGGTTGTAAGTGGAATGTTTAAAATACGACATCATTCCTTTCTTTAATCAATATCAGAAGGAAATTTAAAAATGTTTGTTCTTAAAATTTACGTTTGAAATGGGCCTTATAAAATGTACTATAACAATTAGAAATTATGCGTTCATAATGAATTCTACCTGGTAAAGACATGTTAAAGCATCAAAAATACCTTTACTTGATTTTAAATAGTCCTAAATAACATATCTAAAAAAAATAAATAAAAGTAGTTTCACTCACATATTTTCGCCGACAACCAAAACCATAACATAACCACACATTTGTTTGATTTTGATGTTATTTGTTGACAGCGCGGTTAATAAAAAAAGTGCAAACTTCTCACAAGAAAATAGCAATTCTTTAAAATGAGAGAAATCGGTAAATTTAGATAATATGCAAATGAGAATTTATTACTTTCTTTTCTACGCCCCTTTATGACAGTACGTCACTAGTAGACCGGAAACATTTGTCGCCATATTCGTCTAGTTCTGTCAAAATTAGATACCATCGCGATTCCAAGGTCATTTAGGATTCCTTCTTCCTGACTATATATATTCTAAGACCTGAATACTTGTAATAAATAAGGACTTGATTGTGAATGAATGGATTAGTCACGGGGGTTTAAATCATATGCAAAATATGCCAACCTGTTTACTGCGCAGACCACCCGGCGCTTGGGTGCTCTGAAGTCCGTTTTACAATAACCAAATTGTATTAAAATGTAAAGCACACTGAATAATTTAATAACATCTCGCTCAGTAACACAAAAAAGTATTATTTCAACAATTTTAATTTATATATTAAACCAAATTAAAAAATCATGCCTTCACTTAGTTATTTGTACAATGTTAACCTGTCTTTATGTCCGCTACATGCCTGCTGGCTCCCCCCCGTGTGACCGCTGCCACGGTGACGCGCGCGCTATCATCTATCAACAAAAAGTAAACAAAAAAACAATATGGTTATGGTTGCCGCCGACGAAAACATGTGAGTGAGAGTATTTTTTATTAATTTTAGTTTTAGATATAAGTTATTTAGGATTATTTAAAATTAAGTAAAGGTATTTTGATGCTTTAACTAGAGAAAATACATAATTTCCAAATCAAAGAAAAAATGGTGCCACATTTTAAACATTTCATGTGAAACCAATCATGAATTATGAGATAATTTTGATACGAAATCGATTACAAACACAAATTGTTCAAGACTAACAGCCGTATGCATAGTCGATCGCCAGCGACTCGCCAGAGATTCATTCCGGCGTTTCGCCGGCGAAAGCCCAAAAAGGTGGCGTCTCGCCGGAGATTGTCACCGGAATGTCATTTCACGCAAGTTTTTATTTTCTTTTATAGGGATTATCACCGGTATCTCTCGCATTTTATTCATGATTCATTTCTTAAAACTCAAAAAATAATGAACGAATATCAAATTTTTCCCTATAAAAGAACATGAAAACTTGCGTGAAATGACATTCCGGTGACAATCTCCGGCGAATCGCCGGCGGATCGCCAGCGAATCGCTGGCGATCGACTATGCATACGGCTGTAAGACTGCTAAGATTTGCTTGCTTAGCACCCTCAAAACCAGATACACCAAAGATAATAATACTTAGTAATGTTATGTTATCACACCTCCAGATTACCTGTGTTACATTCCAATAATATAGAAGATCAAAATTTCAAAAACGGTCAGTCATCAATTGAATTTGAATCTTACATAAGGAACAACGTTTCGATAATGGATTTTTAAATAAATTTTATAGAAAACAGAATAGTAAAATTTGCAAATTAAAAAATGCCTTATAATTCCTAATGTGACGTTTAAACTGCAGTCAAAATTTCAGAATCAAAGATATTTCAACAATTTAATTCAAAACTATTATAATGTAGGTTTGTTCAGGTTTCTTTAAAACTCGATGCAAACTGTCCGAGAACCAGTGAAACAGTTTAATTCCAAATTATTTGTCGGATACAACTATTAAACTGTCCACTGGTCAACTAGTCTTCTGATAGTTCTCAATGTATTTTTGAAGAACCCGGACAGACCTAGTATGAGAGCTGTGGCAATATTTTAAGACCAAAAAGATAAACAAAATGATTGAAGTTACTGCATTTAATTTTTTTTCTGTTTCAGTTTATATGGATGGTTGCCTTTTATCTTATTTCCCAAGATTCAACAAGAATATTTTTGTTATTTAGAAAATTAGTTTTTCAAATCAAGTACATGAAATATTTGCAATTTCTGATATTCATTATTTTAACCGAAGATAGTTAACGTACACCTAAATAATAATGTGATATTTCTGATATTAGAGTAACTTTCTTAAAGATAATAAATATTTGGAGATAATTTATAATACTAGAATGTTTTTAAGTCAAACTCATTAGATAATCTTTAGAGAATAACATTTTCGTGAAATTAGGAGTATTTTTTATAGAAACTAGTAAACATTTGTAAAAATAGATTGTACTTTGTATCAAAATAAACTAATATATACAAATAATGATGGTAGGCCGGGTTATCCGGGTTTTACTCACCTGCAAATAATATGGCACTATCGGTTATCTTTAAGTCAGCCCAGAGTGCCATAGCAAATAATAATAACTATTCTTGCCACTCACAAGCTCTTCTTGGGGTTTAACTCATGTAGGTTGAAGTGTAGGAAAATCTATTATTATTGTTGTATTACCATTAATTTAATTTATTTTTCTTGGGAATTTTTAGTAAATATATATATATATATATAAAACTTTGTATGGTATTTATTTTACCCCTCATAGTTATTTGTCATAGAATTTTACATTTTTATTGGCATTTCATAATTGTAACAAACAGCTAATAAAAAAGCAAAATTTTAAATATAATTAAGAGGAGAAAAATTTACTTTAGCAATTATCTTTTTCTAACCAATACGTAATAGAGCTATGGACATTTCTAGTTTATTTTTAATTTTTAGTGAATGAATAATATGTACATTCAGGTAAAAGTGAAATATTTGTTTCTCTGGAGCCACTATTCTGAAATCTGATTTATTTTCTCAAAAATTGAGAAAGTCTTTATGAAACAGAATTTTGCGATTTTTGCCATGAAAATTGATCAAATTTTAAAAAAGTTGCTCCAGAGGAACAAACGTCTACCTTCACTTACATGTTTTTCTTTCACTAAAAATGAAAAAAAATTAACTGAAATTTTGGATGCCTATATTTCGTATTAGATGGAAAATAATAATTGTTAAAATAAATGCTCCTCTGTAAAATAAGCCCGCCAATTTTCAAATTAAATATGGTATTACGGGCAACTGCATTACCAACAGAGTAATGATTGAACAGCTAATATTGCAGGTAACTATATTACCGACAGAGTAGGATTAGTTGAACCACCCGCTTCCACAGGTCGCTGCAAGCAAACTTGTTGCCAAATTTCTATAAAGATACGGCAACTCTTAATAATCTTTCCTACATGGGATTAGTCTAGTAGTTGAAATATCCCAAAAACTGTATAATATGGCGTAATCCAACTGCTAGAATGTGACCATTTTCATAAACGAAAATTGAGAATTTTATTTTTTAGGCTTTTATCTTTTTGTAAATATTAAAAAGATATCAAAATGTATGGCTAAATTTTAAAAGTTTCCAAATGGTTGTAAGATAAATGTTGTGTCCGATTTTGGCAATCTTTATAATTGTGTAATTTTTCAGAAAATCGACAAATACAAGAAAAGACACAGGCTACTCAACAGCCAGCTCCCAAACAAGCACAAGAAACAATACACACAGACATCAACCTAAACAACAATATAATATCGATAATATGGACCGTGAGACTAGAAGAATGGTGAGACAAAAATTAAAGCGTTCAGACAAAGATACGAAAGGTACTTAAATATTTTCTTTTAATATTTAAGCTTAATTTTCACAAGAATATGTTTGTTTAGGGAGAAGAAAATTAGATGACGTCGTCTCTGAAGAAAGCGATGTTACATACACAGAAGAAGATCATCGGAAAAACAAAGTTAATAAGGAACGCAAAAGAGATAGGCACACAGAGAAAAGTTACGATAAAGCTTCAACCGTTACTGTTAGTGATCAGTCGTCAGACTGACGTCATCAACTGGCCATAATGGCTATATTTTGCTTATTTATGTTCATTTTTATATGCTGTCTATTTTTTATATACTGTGCGATTAATACAGAAGGTCTCATCATTGCTAAAGTTAATAGAAAAAATAATACTACATAGAAATTTAGTGAGGGATAACTATTTATATATAAATATAAAAATCGAAATACCTATGTATAGAATAAATTTAAGAATATAAGAAAACTTTGCAGAATAGAATAGAATAGATAAAAATGAATGAGAAAAATGTAAAAAGTTGTATAATTGAAATTTTATGCAATAAACAGTCAATTTTTATTGTTTTTTAATGAAAAATTAAAGATCATGTTTTTTCTAAGTATGAAGACATGGATATGTCGCAAATTACATAATAGAAACCGCTGACCTGTCTAGAAGTTTCGAGAATTCCACCAGCCGACAGTTCAAATTACTTGTTATCTCTGAACAAGTGTTTAACATTTTTTATTTTACTTTCAGGCTGATGTTAGCTTGCAATTAATAAAGTCACAAAAATATTGTACTTGTTTAAATAAAAGTATATTATTTTAAAAAACGATTTTTCAAATCGTATTATATTAATTTTTCGGAAAACAGCGTTGACTTAACAGCGCTGCCATAAAAACAGCGCCGTCAAAAAGTAGCACCGTCACAAAATGGCATTAACGAAATGAAGAAGGATAACAAATAAAAATGTGGTAAAAATAAGGATTATTTTCCTCGTCTGTTAATTTTAACATTTTAATAATCACATTTGTAATTTACGCTATCGTTAGAACCAATCAGAACCAAATTTATTGTCTATTGCTGTGTGCTTTTTTTCAACCTTCCCAAAGCTTCTTATGTTTACTTTTTGCTGATTGGATCTCCTATAGCAGTGGTCGCCAACCTCTCAATGTGTTGAGCTACTTTGTTAATTTTGGAATAAACAGCGAGCTACCCATACGGAAGCCACGCAACGCAACGTAAATGAAATAATCCACAGTTAATTTATCATTATATGTATTTATTTTACTATTTAACTGGTAATACATAATACATAGGTACTAATAATAAACTAATAAAAAAATAACTAATATTACTAGTACGTACTTGTTCACAGCTACATTCCTACCTACCAAACGAAGGTGTTTGAAAAATAAACACATACTTTTATCCAGCCATAATGGCATGTCACGTAAGATTTAAAAATAGTTAATAATAACGACAAAAAAGTAACGCACTATCATGAACATAAACATTGAAAAATAAAAAAGCACGTTCAATGAGAAGGCTGACACTCAGACTCATCGATCATTTTTTTAATGTTTGCAGTATAATTTGATACAGCCATTCGAATACAATTATCCAAATGTTCATCTGCAAGTCGATTGCGATATTTGTTCTTAATAAACTTCATATTGGAAAAAGAAGATTAACACAAATAGGTTGAACTGAATAATGCTTTCACTTTCAAGGCAACACGGCATAGAACTGAATATTTGTCTTTACTTACAATAGGCCAGATACATTTGGTACTTGAGATTTTAAGGCTAAATCATTTTGAAACTCAATTACTTCCATTTCTGTTGCAGCGATGTCTTCGCCAAAGTTCTGCATAACACAAGTTGCAAACTGTTGGATATCAATTTCCATAAAGGGTGAAACAACAAACTGCGCTACTAAAGCCATTTCGTTGAAATCCTTAAAACGATTTTTGAAGTTATTCTTCAGGGTAGAAACTATTTCTACATGATATTTGCTGTCATAGGGTTCTAATGGATTTTGAGATATTTTTTCTGAAAGAATAGGAAAATGCTTGGCATCGCTGTTAATTAGCTTTTTGATAAATGCTTTTATATCAGAAATCATTTCCGCTCGTTCTTTGTATCTCCCCTGAAGCTGCAAATTAAGTTCGTTTAATTTCTCTGTTATGTCCACGAGAAAACCAAAATCTCTAAGCCAGATTGAATTTTCTAGTTCCGGAGTCGGTTCATCGCGTTGTTTGAAAAATTGAACTATGCCAGATAGGACATCATTAAAACGTTTCAGCACCCGTCCTCTACTTAACCATCGGAGTTCAGAGTGAAGGAGTAGGTCTCCGTATTGACAGTCAACTTCATCGGCCAAGGTTTTGAATAATCTTTGTAACGCTTGAGCTCTAATATTGTTCACAATTTTTACCACCAGTTTCATAACGTTGTTTAGTTTCAGGAAATTTCCACATAATGCTTGCTGATGGATAATGCAGTGGTAACAGAGAAATTGCGGAAAAGTTTCATCTTTACGACATAACGTCACCAGACCCTTATCACTAGCCACCATAGCTGGAGCGCCATCGGTTGTCAAGCCTACCATTTTCGATATTGGAATTTTCTCGGAAGAAATAATATTTTTTAAATGAGAAAACAACTCCTGTCCAGTAGTGTGTCCTTTCAGTGGAATAAACTTCAAAAGATCTTCTTTAATCGTAAAATCACTAAAAACCATCCTGACGAACACAGCCATCTGGGCAGTGTCAACGACATCTGTTGATTCATCACTGTATTAGCAGAAAGTTGCATAGATTTTATAGCTGAAACTATCTCGTCTTTATTTCTAAAGTTGGCAAATAACGAATCAGCAGCTTCTAAAAACGCTTGTTTCATCATTTCCCCGTCTTCATAAGGTTTCTTTTTTTGTGCAATTATCTGTGACACACGGTACGATGCTTCAGTTGCAGCCTTATTTTTGTCGACTGTTCTTAAAAATATTGATTGTTGTCCAATTAACTGCTTTTTTAACTGTTTCAGTTTCTCCTTTCTGGCGGCGGAATGTAGTGGGAATGATTTTTCAAAATTAGAATGTACAGTTTTATGATGTCTCTCAATATTTCCTTTTTTAGCAATGGAGACCGAAGTATTACATAACAAACACACATTTTAATCTTTAACTTCTGTAAAAAAAGTATTGTTCTTCCCATTCCGAATGAAAGTGGTATGTCTTTACCTTCTTACAACTGCTTGCCATACTATTATTTTTTGTTGTTCTCTACTAACCCAACCGCTGGACGTTGCTTACGCGTTCAGTTTTAAACTAAGCGCAATGTCGCCGCGCCGTGCGTAGTTATCCCGTTCAAAGCAATCCTGATCGTTCTCGAACAGTAACGCGCTGGTCCGGCTGGTCGGTTCTAGCCGATTCTAGCTTGATGGCGTCAGCGGCAGATCGCTCACCGCAACGTTGCCGCTGTTTATGTTTAATATTATGACAATTAGATTTTTTTGTGGAATTTTCGGAAGCTTCTCTGATTTTTGCAATTTGTATTTTTTAAATTAAAATCGTTGTGAGAGCTACCAGAATTGCCTCCGCGAGCTACCGGTATCTCGCGATCGACAGGTTGGCGATCACTGTCCTATAGCAACAATTGTATTTGTTGTTTCCACTAGTTTTTTATCAAACTTATAAAATATTTATCTTTTGCAACGACTTTCTTCTTCTTCTTCTTCTTCTTCTTCTTCTTCTTCTTCTTTTTCTTCTTCTTCTTTAATGTGGTTATGGGCTTAATCCGAGGATTATCCACCCAGGAAAAGTTATTTTCTTAAATTTTGTTTAACTGGAAAAGCTGCACCCTCGTGCGTCGGACTTCTGTCCCCACTCTTCCACTACACTTGATAATTATTTTAAATATTCTTTAGAATTCTTGGCACTGAATATTTTATTTAATTTAATATACTTTTTAAAGTTGGATGGTCACTTTTGAACTTGATATTTTGTGATTTGTAGGACTTGAGGACTCCCGATTCGGAGACCGCCATTTTAATGTTGACACGACGATGTCCGAATCGGAAGTGATGCAACGACTTTGCCTACCTGCTTCATAATCTTCTCTTCTTTTCGCCCCAATTTCTCTAACAGGTGTGATCTTACAGTCACTATATTAAATCAAGTTATCACTACAGTTTATTTGAAAGCATTGAACATAATAATAATAGAGAGGAAAATAAAAAAATGTTTCTATGAAAATTAAATATAATGTATCATAAACAAAACGAAACTTTTATTTACATATTCGTGTGGACAAAAACTGTGCAACTAAAATAACATACAAAAGCATTAAAAGGCTATACTATTTCAGCTTTTTGATTCACTATCTACATTCAACAACTTAAATTTCTCTACAACTTCATTTTGATCTAAATTATTAACTATGGCGAATAAAAAAGCTTGATTTTTTAAAATCTCCAACTTATTTTCAAAGCTACATATTTCCGATTTTGAAGAAATCAAGTCTTTGTGTTTTTTACTATTGATGAAAAAATCTTTAAGCATATCAGTCGCGGTGTTAACTAAAGGTTTTAGTTCTTCTATGGATACTTTCTTCCCTTCACGCGGTGTACGAGTTCGCCTTCTTCTAACTACGGATTTTTTCTTTGGATTTTTTTTCGTTACTGCGTCTACTTTGGGCTTTTTGAAAGTATGCGAGCTTCTTTGAATTTCCCGAATTGTGTAATCAAATGATTCGATTTTATTCGTCACTGCGTTGTACTCTGGTCGTTCGTGAACATTTATCGGCCACTCTTTTGGCAGACTGACTTTTTCATTATCCTAAAAAGAATGTTATTATTTTTAGGAGGCGGAGAAAAAAGTTTGTCCCAAAAAGCACTTGTTAACTAGACTAAAAGTGGTCAACAAAAATAATTTTTTCTACGTTCATGGAAAAAACAAAACTTTATTTAACTATATTTAGTGAAAGAACTGGTTCTTTCTTAATAAAAATTTTATTGCACTCATCTGTCATTTTACTACAGCGTTTTATGATCATGGCAAACATAAATATTCAAATCAACGCCAAATATTTAGTCCATTTTCATTTTCTGTGTAACGTTTTAAAAACAATTGCATATTTTATATTATTTTCAATCATTTAATAAATAAATTAATAAAAAAATGTATTTTATTAAAAATATAATTACAAAATTATGAACACAAACGTAAATAAATGTCTCAAACAAAGGTACACGATCACAGCTACTACGATTTGGATAATACAACTGCAGTTCTATAAAACATTTTGCATGAACGTAGAAAAAATATTGTATACAACTCGTGCAAAAAGTGTTTATTGCACTCGACGTGTTGTCCAACTCTGCCTGACGGCCTCGACAAGTTCACGTCGCGTGCAATAAACACTTACTTTTTGCGTCCACATTTGCAACTATTTTATCATTACGAATAATTACGGCATTCTAGATTAGTAAGTAGAGCTCGATTTTTTTGTGAAAAGCACACTTCTTTATAGTGTGCAGAAACCAATTTGAGTTTGTAGGCGTGGTCAGACAGATTTAAACGTGATCGAAGCCGCCTGCCGCTCATTAATGCTCATACAAGTTGAATTCAGTAGCGTAGTGTTACTTATTTGTACTTCTTGCATTTGGCTATTTTGAGTTTCTTGAGTTTTGTGCTTCGATTTTTGAGTTTCCAGAGTTTTTGTGCTTCGATTTGTGTGTATATAAACTTTAATTTGTTATATTTTTTGAATTCCTAATTAATTTTGTGTATATTTTGGTAAGTACATTTACAAAACTATAAATATTAATCTCAAAAGAAACCGAACATCCTGAAATATTTTAAATAAATAAAATAAAATAAAATAAAAAAAAGTCTGAGTATGATCACTGTTTGAAGGATTCGGTGAACATATTATTATTTCTTGATGAAAAAACTGAAAATAAAACAAAAAAAAATATTTTTTCAATACAAATTGTAAAGGAAAGATTTCTCTAGAGAATTCTTAAAAGAAAATTCTAATCAAATAAAAAATAAAAGCAGAATCCTTAAAACAGTGATCATAATCTGAACAAATTTTATTGGGTAAACGTGGTGGACCATTCCGCGAAATATAAGGATGCATATATTCAAAGAGAACACCTTATGGATGAATTTACAGATTACCTCATATTTAATGTAAACACGGGGTCATCCGATGAGTGGGAATCCGATATTTCCGATCTGGAAGATGATGAAGATGATGAAAATGTTTAAAATTATACAAATTAAATTAAAATATATTATTTATTTAAACTTTTAGTTGGTTTATTAATTTAAAGTTCATCAGCAATTTAACTAACGAATAGTTAAAATTTAACATTAACTTATTAATATGTTCGATTTAAAATATTTTATTAATGTACACACGTCACTGCTAAGATATCAGGTACCCCTACCGCAGCAGATTTCAGCACAGCGTCATCAACTAAAGCTTCGCAAAGTTATGACGTACTGAGTACGACAATGGGGACAATCGTTCATTATTCCGAAGACCCCAAGCACTTTCCTTTTGCCTCTGACAAAACATCTCGCACCTTGGATATAGCCGTCACTAAAAACATTCCGAACATAGACAATACAAGGACAATCAAAACTATGACCTCTGATCATGACCCTGTATACATGGAGATCAAAACTCAAAAGTTGATCCCCAGGATGTAGGGTCATTATTATGACTGGACAAAATACAGAAAAACATTAGACAACACAATCTCCCTTACTAACAACATCACAGATACTAATACTCTTGAGGAAGAATTTACCCAAATAACTAACAACATTATTAACGCAAGAAACCTATCCACTAAGAAAATCACTCTTAAGCTACTAAAAGATGACCTCCCTCAAGAGATATTAGATCTAATTGACAACAAAAACTACATTAGACGCCGCTGGTAGACACACAGGACAGAGGATGACAGGGTTAGGCTATTAGACATTGGCAAAGCCATCAATTTCAAAATCACTGAACATCGCAATGCCAAATGGCGTAAAACCCTGGAATCCATTAACATACATGACAACGCTGAAACACAACAATCAAACTTACCACACAGACGAACAAAAAGGAAGTGCCTTCGGTGAATTCTTCCAGGCTAATTTTGTAAATAATCAATGTAATAATAGACAACAAAATGATATCACTAAGTTAGTAACTGAAATCCGATACATTCCGACACAATCTATCCACAGAAAATACCTCACTTCCCCTAAGGAAGTTGCGGAAATTATTAGGAGGACTCCCAGTAAAAGAGCTCCAGGTCCCGACGATATACACAATAAACTATTGAAAAATCTTTCAAAAAAAGCAATTGTGCAATTGCACTACCTAATTAATGCCACACTCAGACTACAATGGTACCCACAGTCCCGAAAAATCGCAAATGTGGTACCAATACTTAAAGCAGGGAAAAATATGGGGCTAATCGGAAGCTACCGCCCCATTTCACTTTTAAATGGCCTTGTCAAGATCATAAACAGAATAATACTCACACGACTACATACGTACGAACAAATTATCCCATCAGAACAGTACGGTTTTAAAGCTGGGCAAAGCACAGTAGCCCAAATTATACGTATTGCCCATCATGCCATTAAAGGCTACAATGCGACAAAAAACACGGTGCTTGTGGCACTGGACGCTGCGAAGGCATTTGACACCGTCTGGACTGATGGGTTAATACACAAAATGTTTATGAATGACTACCCTGTTTTCATTGTAAAAACAATCCAAACATACTTACTACACAGAAAATTCTACATTAAAATCAACAATACACGTAAAGGACCTTACACTGCGCTAGCGGGGGTACCTCAAGGTTCGGTGCTCGCACCGCATTTGTACACTATCATGACTTATGATTTACCAATGGGACATGATAGTATACAAACGGCCCTATACGTCGATGATACCTGTCTTTATAAAACATCCAGGGCCGACTAGAGGGGGGGGGGGGCAGCCGGGACTAATTCCCGGGGCCCGGACACAAATGGGGGCCCGGCAACTGGATTTTTTTGTCTTGTATGAGAACGGCACAAGACGAGACGGGGAAGTGTTTTTTTTTTTTAGAAAGAGCAATTCAAGTTTCTTTTTGGGGCCCGATCTAGAAGGATTGTCCTGGGGCCCGGCCTGGCTCTCGGCTGCCCTGAAAACATCACAGACTGCAGAAGTCGTGACCAGAAGGCTGGACATACATGATAACAGAATGTTAGTCCCCTATCTAGAACTTAACAAAATTAAAATCAATCCAGCAAAGACAAAGTCTTATTCTGTCACACAAAACAGACAGAATAATCAACAAGCTCAAAGTTCAATGACAGGTCATTGACACTAATGACACAATGAAATACCTGGGATTCATTCTCGATAGGCGGCTAACGTTCAGGAAACATATAGTGGACGGAGTATCTAAAACTACAGCCCTGTACCCTCTACTACATAGGAAAAGTGGTGTTACATCTGCTAACAAACTCCTTATATACAAACAAATACTCAGGCCCATATTAACATATGGATGTCCGGCCTTCTGTTCGATGGCTGAGACCCATTACAACAAAATTCAAGTTATGCAGAACAGGTGTCTTCGGCTGGCGTTGGGTTATGATCGCTACGCCAGAATACGTGACATGCATATGCAAACAGCTTTGGAACCCATTAAAGATCATATCCTTAGACTTTCTGACGTAAAAGAAAATGATTTATTTAATGAGATAAAAGCCCTAAAATTGTTTTCTAAAGCGTCAAATCCCCTCGAAATTTTACAATATATATTTTAAAACAATCTAACTTCATCTCTACCAAATATTACCATTTCGTTAAGAATCCTGCTGTATCTGTAGCTTCTGGTGAGAGATTCTTCTCAAAATTAAAAATAATTAAACATTATTTGAGGTCTACCATGTCACAAGAAAGATTATCGGGTTTGGCAATCTTAGCTATAGAGCAAGAAATCCTCGATAAGGGGGGTCTATTAAACTGTCAAGAGTATAATATAGAATGGCAGTTATCTAGTTTTTGTTAGAGATCTGCACAATTTTTAAAATGTTTAAGTTCATGTTTCATAAAATTATGTTTTGTTATATTGTACATTAAATTACTAATAAAACTAGCTTTTAAAAGAAGTGTCACATCATAAAATACGTAACAGTACCAGAGGGCGTTAAAATGAATAGTAATATTGCTAAATTCTCCATATAATTACCTTTCAAATGATGTGTAACTTGACCATACTAACTATTAAAAAAATGAAACTCCCATCGACAACTTTTCATCACAATAAACCAATAATTTATCAAACTAACCCTGGCTTTCAAAACGCATGTTTAGAAGAAAGTCATATTTAGTAAGAATGATTGAAAATAATTAAAACTGGCAACACCCAATTAAAGTTTTAAGATCATAGAAATCTCATGGCGGGTTTTGCTTCTGGGTAAACTGTGCTCTGTGGTATTGAACAATGCACAATCTTAGACGGCTGTTTTATCTATAGTTAACAGAAATTGAAATATCAAATAAGAAGTGTCAAATTAGTTAATTTTAAAGAAAATATGCATCAGTTTTATTCATGGAGTAATCATTTGAAAGGTACCTATTAGTTATTTCTATGGGTATGAATGCTTAAATGATTTTTAATTTATCGAAACAGTTTGATTTAATATTATGAAAATTATAGCAAATGTCAAAATTGATATAGGTTAAATTTTGAATCAAATATTAAAAGATTTAAAAATGTATGTTATACAATATCCTACCTTGTTTTCTTTTTCTTCAATTTCATCGTCAGTTGCATCCAAAAATGCAAAATCTTCTTCAAATAGTAATTCTTTGGAAAGATCTCTGGACTTGTTTCTAACATTTCGAACAGGATTTCGCCTAATATTACCATCATCTTTTTTCGGTTCAATTAACGATGCTGTTTTATCAGTTGAGCAGGTAGCATCATTTTCTTTATACTCTTTTACAAAAATAACTTCGTCGTCACTTAACTCGAAAACATCACATCCATTACTGCTGCCCGATTTTTCCGTAAGTTCTGACAACTTACTAATGTCAATAAATTCAGGCTTATCTGGTTCATTACCATAAACTTCCAAGACAGCCACACTTTCGTGTACCCTATTTTCGGAACTAAATTCAAATTTCTTTGAAAAATCGAAGACAGTTTTAGGACTATTTTGGCCATTTTCATACTGAAAATATTTAGCATCTAGTACTAAATCAGGTAAATTCTGAGTAAAATTGGTATCTTTGCAAGAATTTAAAACTAGGGAGCAGTCATTTGAGTTAGAAGGAGAATATAGCATCAAAGGGTTATTTACTACCACAATTTGACCGGTTTCGATGATTTTTGGATAGTCGTAATGTTCTTGTAGAGGTATATTTTTGAGAGCCATGTTTCTGTAAAAACAAATCAACGATAGTGTGATATAATTTGGTAAATATTGTACTGTCTAATTATGAGCAAATTAGTCAAAAATAATAACGAAATAATCTAAATTATATATGTTAATTATTTTAAAACCATCGTGGAATTATAGAAGAAAATATAAAAAACTTACTCGAAATTGTAATTAAAGAGTGCAGGATCCAAATGTCACATAAATAGTTACTTTTTCCTGGATTTACATCATAGCCGTTGCTTAGATACTAAAAACTGAAAGAAATATTGTTGATATAATATGGACGATTCTAATAATTTTTGTATTTGAACTGTTACTATTTATAATTTATAAAACATCATAAAAAAGGATATTTTCTTTTAGAAATATAAATTATAACAGCGTTATCAATTTACTACTACATTCCAAATAAAAACTGATAGAAACGAAAAAATGTATTCATCAATATTATAGTCCAGGAAATGATATACAAATTTTAATATGGAATATTTATGTGGTTAATAAAATGAAAATTAGTCGATTATATAATTCTGGGTTTTAATTGGATAATGCTTTATTGAACATGTTTCTCAATTGCATATTTTCGACTGCTGTAAACAAATTTCAAAAATTTTAATCGAAAAATATCTTATATACAATACAGACCCAACAATGTTTGCTATTTTCGCGTAGTTTCTTAATGCAATTGATCCTACTTACTATTTTTAATCAATTTAACTGCGGAAAAACTAAAATAGTAATAGCACAGCTTATACAATACAGCTCCACAACTCCGTGTCGGCGTCTTTGATCTGGCGGTCGAGAACCAAGCAAGACGGAATGGTGCTATCTCTGTTAGATTCGAGGGAAAAGTCGGGCCCGGATTAAACAATTTTTTTATTATTGAAAAAATTGAAAACCTTGGTGTAGTAAGGTTGGTTACATGCCATATTAAGTAAGTTTTGGAAAATTAAATTTTTAATTTGTTTTAAATCTATCAAATATAATTAAAAAAATTATTTAAATATAAATATTACGAAAAATAGCACATCTTTTAGAGGTAAAATAATTTGTATGTGGCTAGTAAAATCCGCGTTAACAAATGTTTTGAGCTAAAACAGTCACTTCACGACAAATTGTGGCTTGGATCCTTTTTACACCAAGGGCTTCAATTGTTAAAGAATTTTGTCACGCTCGTGGATGCAAATCAAGTGGTAACCCGTGTGTCTGGCAAGTGTTACTCTTCGTGCAAAGGGTTTATACCTAGATAAACGAATGCTTCGACTAAGGTCTGGGAACTCTATGGTATTTTGGAATTATAAAGAATTTGTGCTTTTATTTTAACAATATTGGTTATATTTAGATGTATTCTTATTAATTGAAATACAGATTTGTAGAAGTAATACTTTGACAGTTTTTATTAATATACTCGTAATATATTCAATTTTTATCTGACCATACCGAAGTAGGGAATTTTGAAACTTTATAGTAATGTGAAATTTGAATTACAATATTACACGAAATTACATAAGTAGTACTTATTTTAGGTAGGTACTAAATTTGTACTTGGAGAAAGTAATATCGATTTTTACAAGAAAACTTGAAAAGTAAATTAATTTAGTTCCTATTTCTGATGTAAAACTTAAACCAAGAAAACAAATGAATAGTAGTTAGTTCAACAAGGGTGGATATGATAGCCATATCACACAAAGACGAAGTTTGAGCACGACGTCGTAGGCAGAGTACTCAATCGTCTGATTGTGATATGAACAATCCACTCGATATGGTCAGTATATTTTTTCTACGACCCACTAACGAAAATCTACAAATTTAAAAAAATATTTTAGGTTATTTAGACAAAATAACTAATTTTAAAATAATTTACGAAGTTGACTAATTTATAAAATAAAATAAAATAAATATGAAAAATTAATTAGTCCTCGGCCTAGATTCGATCCCGGGCTTTTCGCGTAGAAGGCAGATGCTCTGTCCTCATCTTCACCGAAACTTTCAGGACTTTAATTTTAATACTCGTAATTAAATTAGTATCATGTAGTTTGATTAAATTTTTTTTTTTAAATGTGGACACAATAAAAACAAAAATGCTATTATTTATCGAGTCTACACAAAAATTTTACTGTATATTTAATATCAATAACTAAAATATATATTGACAATTAGTTTAACAGAATTGTCACTTTATATTTGTAGTTGAACGCAATAGCATACTTTTTCGTTTTGTAGCATGTGCATAGATTGGCTAATATCCATGCACAGATTACAAAACGAAAAAGTATGCTATTGCCTTCAATTGAACAAATATATTTCATATCCATTCTAGGTAGTGAGAACACTGCAAAAAAAAATTCTCCAATCACCGTTCATATTTTGATCAACCGACTGCTATTATTTTTAAAATTTTAAATAAATGACAATTCTGTCAAACTAATTGTCAGTATATTTTTTAGTTATTGAGATTAAACATACATTAAAATAGGTTATTCTTTTGGAAAACGTTAGCATGGATGACTAAAGGGTATTGGGTTAATTAATTCTAAAAGTGTGGTACAAATGTTATTTTTTGTAGCCAATTCTTCAAAATTATTTTGAAATATCTTTTCAATATTGAATATTAGTTCTACAAATTCATCATTTGATAGTTGCAGATTTCCAAATGTATCTGAATTGGCGTTATCATATGCCTTTAAAAAGCAATAAAAAGAAAAATCATCTAATTCAACGTGATCTTTGTTATATTTAAGACAGGTATCACAGGAGTGGATCCGCAAGGCTTTTATTAAAAGGTAACCACACACATACCTGTTAAATTTTTTCTGTAGCAACTCGTCTTTACAATAATTTAGGGTGTTAATAATTTCATCATAAAATAAAATACAAGGTGTTCCATTTAAAAAACATACATTTTAATTTGCCAGGCAAAACGTGACACCCTGTATATCCAAAGATATTTTTAAAATATGTAGGTGTTTTTCAAATCCATATAACTTTTATTTAAAACTTTTTGCGTGTCTACAACAAAATAATGAACAATAACGCACTAATGGGACACCCTGTATAAATTATATTTTTAACAATGAAAATTTCTTATAATGTGTTACTTATCGGTTTGGGTCCTTGGGAAAACTAAAGAATGTTTTCTTGCAGGTATAACCCTTATTAAAACAGCTTTTGACTGCACAAACAGAATGATGTCTTTTTTTTTTCACTCATTCTACTCACAGCTAAAGAGTCACCAAAATAATAACAGTACCTTTAACTCAAACAAAATCAACGAAATTATAGGCTCCACGAAATTATACAATCAACGAAATTATACGCACGACTCAACACCTTACCTAAGTACGCTTCTGAACGCCAAAACCATCTTTTCCCTCCGAAGGCGGAGCTTAAGCGATGCGCGACGAAATCGACGCAAACCGTTGCCGCCAAGAGAGTGTTTTAGCTGTATTGTATAAGCTGTGGTAATAGTTCATATAAAAATATTGTGTATAGAGAAAGTAAAAGTTGAAAAGTCTTTTGGTAGGTAGAGAGGGGGTAAACGTCAAACCACGTCGGGCAGCTCCGAGAATTTCGCAGTAATGTTTACCTGCCAGTGTCGTTTCATAGAATAAGTAATTTTAAATTGTTATCGGCGGAACCGGACAATCGCATGTATTTATGGATTATAAATAATTACTTATTAAACATGTATTATAATATTCAAATCATAATTTTACAAAATTTCAACAGCTATTCACAATTTATTATACTATTTACTCGAAATTGTTATTAACATCTATAAAATAATTTTGTACGCCAATGTATCGCGTCCACTTCGGTGAGATCCGCTGCCAACCTATAAATTTATGTGTATAAAGTGGGAGAACTGGCAAAAGCATTTCCAACTTTTACTTCTGTTCTATTAATCAGAAATAATTTTTTTGATATAACCTCAATTTTCTTAAAAGAGGTTTCTGTTATTTTTTATAGCATGTTGTTAATTATTTTTAAAGTACCTGTTTTTGATAAAATATCGGACGTTTTGGATAATAATTTTATGAAATAAATCAAGTCAATTACAAATATACATAGCGCATCATTACTTCACAATAACGGGACCATTCAAATTCTAAGATACAGGGTGTTAAAGTTAAGAAATACCACTTATTTAATAACGGTTATTTCAGGAGAAAACTAATCGATTATAATAATTGTTTGTGCCAAATCTTATTGTAACAACTTTTGGCATTCTACAAATATAAAAATGGGCTAAACATTATTTTCTTTTACAGGGTGAGCCACACATAAGTAAAGACATGTTTTTGATAATTACTTTTATTGTTCTAGAATGTGAAAACATTTACTTAAAAATAAATTATTGCTATATTTATCATATCTAATGATAATATAGTACGAAAAACTATTAAAAAAAAAATATATTCGGTAGTTTTTGAATAATGGTCTTAATTTATTTCATAAAACTTTTATTCAAAACTTTTTTAACCCATCAGAAATATAAATATTAGTAAGTTAAGTTACTTGTACACTTTGTGTATAAATTTTGATTTAAACCTAACGTCAAATTTCTCTATTTATTTACTCCTATAGTTTTCAGATGAGTTTAATTTGCTCTCTAGTTAATTGATCTTTTGAAAATCCGAATTACTTTTTAGTTAAAAAAAAATAATGTTTTCAGGGTGTGATACATAGAAATAGTATAGAAAGCCGATTCCATATATCAAAAATGAAACCATAAGGAGAAAATAGTGTGTCGGAGCTCAAGCGTATAACGGTGCTGGCGCGAACAGGACCGGTGCAAGTTTTTTATTGATCGAACAAATAGTTCACACATTTCAATCATACATTTTTAGAGATGATTCTATACAAAAAACGATTAAAAAAATTTCAAGTTAAGGTAAATATGGTTCTGACAGTCCTTATTAAGAAAGATATGGCATAAAATATGAATTAGTTAATTTTCGGCAATCATTAGTACAGTAGTCATGAGATTTTGATTGTGATTTTAAAAATACTTTCCAGAAAAACCACGTGCTCCGGTTTTGACTACGTTTATTATTAAACAGCGAAATTATATACAAAAACTTTAATCCACAATCTAAATTAGGTACTATCACAAGAAAATCACTGTTACAATAATTAATTACTTAACCAAAAACTAAAATACTTTTTAGGTACCTACGTAACCAGAAAGGAGCTGGACCATTTATCCTAATATTGATTTTCTCTCTCCCTACGGTAAAACTTAAAACAATAACAAATTGCCTATCTACTAGGGTCGGTAACTAAACGAATATACATAATGGGCGGATTTTGTTTATACTTAACATTACACTCGCGCATTTAAATATAACTATATGCATATCAATATTTACAAACAAAGATACTTTTCCAAACAGGCAATCATTAGTACTGTAGTCAGGAGGTTTTGC